AAAGTAGGAAAATAATTTCATATTTTACAGAGTTTGTGTATCATCTGAATTTTTAGAGGAAGTAACCAGCTTTATAGCTCTTTCTTCCATTTATTGTTTCAAAATACTTTAGATCTTAAAATTCTAAAATAATTTCTGGTTTTACAATATTAAATTGTATCGATTTATTAATGCTTACTGGTATTCTATCACAAGTGTATCTGGCCATGTTAATAATAATATCTTACAGAAACTTGTTTTTATAAATCGTTCCCATCTGCATGGAGATAATTATAAAGGAACTATATACAACATAATAATAAATTCATAAATCTAATTATTGTTATTGTAAATAATGAATTAAATACATTATTATGTAACATTCTTGCCATTAGTATCATGTGCGAACAAAATTTTCTTCTTGAACTATTTTAATTGTGTAAGTTATCTGTTTTTCTTCACCTTACCGGAACGGGCGGTGCTGATGAATAGTTTGAGCTAAATAATCAAAATCCATTGAATTATAAAATTTATCAAGCTGATCACGCGCTGCTTCGATGTTTTAAATTTTAATGCATGACCAATGAATTATTAAATTAATTATGAATGCGATTAGAAAGTTATTTTGATTAGGATTGTTATTCGGTTTCTTCCGATGGAATCATGTTCACCTTAAATTTTCTTCAGTTTAGAACGATAAATCACTCACCCATGACATATTTCTAAAGAGAATTGTTTGATAACGGAACCTTCTCTGTATAATTTAAAAATATCATCATCGGAAATTATTTCTTCGGGAAGTCATTGACTTTATTTAAAGATTTCAGATGTAGCATTTCCATATCGCAATAAAAATAGGAAAGGAATTATGCGTTCTACCAAGAAAGTAATTGCGACTGGGCTACTTTCTGGTCAATGAAATAATAAAAAAAAAAAGTAGGTTACTAACTGTAAAGTTGTCCTATTTGAATTGTTAAACTCCAGACGAATTTGTGCGCAAAAAGTTTAGAGTAAAATTAAGAATAAATCCGTGATTAAAAGTTTGGGAATTTGATGCGTAATTTTTCCAAATCTTCTTGAAGAACCTCATTAGCAGCTTGACTTTAAATTTTGTCTTTTTATTGTAATTTCCTTTACATTAAAAAAACTAAAATATTTAGAAAAGGTACTTCCAACAACAATAAAGCATAATGTAAAGGTACTTACAATAACACGAGACTATGTTCATTATACAATGATGATTGAACGTTAGAATATTTACGTCAAAGACAAAATCGGATCATAACTTGATGGTTTAACTAAAGTATTGTGATAATCCATTTTTCAGGACTCTTAATAAAAAGTCACGAATTCCCGAAATTATTTCAAGTACCTTTTCTATATCATAGAAAAATTTTTTGTTTATAAATTACTTACAGTATATATAAATAAAAGAAATCAGAATAGAAATAGTAATACAAACATCAGAATAGTCCATGTATTAAAGACCGTTTTTTGATTGCATCATTCAATAACAATCTTCCTTTATATGATCTGAAAATTGCTTTCAGGATAAAGACTATCATATCAACTTTTGATCGAGCCTAATATAGCAACCATCTTAATGCAGGCAAAACTCGCCGACGTAGTCCAACTTATTAAGAAAATCCAGAGTACTTTTCGAAATGTATCATCATCATCGTAATCTATTGTAGTAATTACGAGGATTTTGTGCGTAATAAAAGTAAAAAATTCTCCCTGATTAATTGAATAAATGATATAATTAAAGGGTGATATTAATATACATATATTTAAATTATTTAATAATAAACACAAATCTCAATAGAGGATTAGGTGCTTATTTAGTGAAATATGTGACGGAGGATTATAAGGAGGATATGGGCGTTTTGTGTTATGTTAATTGATAATGTTGATTATTATTTATTGTATTAATTAATAATATAAGATGAATGTTGATTACTATATGGTGGATATGGTGTTTGATTACTGTTATGGTAAATGATTGTAACTGCTGTGGATTTATATATAATAACCTGGTGTTGATGTGGAAGACTTTGTGAACCGATAGAACTTTCTCATATTGATGAGAAGCATCGTTTATAGTTTCGATCCTGTCATTGCTGTTCGTCGCGGATTTGATGTTAATGATGTCGTTTTATCATTTGATTGTGATAAAATTAGCTATCGTATTTCTTTAAGTGCAATCAACTTTACCATTAACATTTCTTCAAAATTTATACTAATAAATTTTTGGTCGGTGGTGCTTTAGGCTTACCAGAATTCTTGGTAAAATAGATTTCTAGTCGTGCCATCCTTTCAGGGGGTTGCCATTTGATATTTGAGTTTTTTTTTTTTTAATTCTCCCTTAGCAATTATAAGATAAGCTAAACAAAAGTCCTTAATTTTAACTTTAACTTTAAATTGCTTACGAAAACTGGACTGTTGTAAATCATGATAAAAAGACCTTTGTAAATAAGGATCCTGATACAGTAATCTGGATTCCGGTCTCAACCGATCGTAATGTCTTAAAATTTCCCAAAATATATTCATCTACTTTTTTGGTATTTTTTTACATTTTGTTGCTTTTTCTCATCTTTAAAATACTTGAAAGTTACGAGATGACTTGTTCAAGGGTTTTTTGCTTGAATCTTTCTAAAATATATAAGAAAAGTGAATTAATAGGAAGAAAATCAATGGTAAAACTAAATATGGAAGCAAGTTTGTTGTAGCGTCGAAGGTTATTTTGGCTTGCTGCCACAACATCTCTTGATCATTCTAAAAATTAGAAAAAAGATATAAATAAAATATTTGCTTCAGTCTTGGAAATCAAGGACGTATATTGAAATCTTGTTCATAAAATCCATTTTTATTTTTTTTTTTTAGAAAATTATTTTAAACAAAGTATTTAAATGTTTGAGGAAAGGAAAACAAAATGAGATCCTCTAATCAATTATGCGACCTCGGATTTCGTGGTCAAAACTCGTCCTTTTCTTAACACTTGTAGTATCTTCATGTCTCCTGTTTTTTTTCGTAATAGGAACAACGTCCTTGAGAATATCCACGACAAAGTCATTAATGCACGACCAGGAGAATTTTTATGTCACCTGATATTTGCTTCTCTTCGAATTGCAGGTCTTGATCTCTCTCTCTCTCTCTCTCGCGATTGCTTTGATATATACTCGCAAAATTTACTAGAAATCACAATATTAAAATTACAATATACAATAAGTAAGGTTCTATAATTTAAGTCAAATGAGAATTCTATTCTATGGTAATAATATGAAAATATACTTATCCATGTCGCATCAAGCTAACTTGAGCGTCTTTTACTGCCTTTTAAGCTTGAGCGTGGTGTCGGTGTCTCAACAATAATAGTTTCTTTTCTTTCTTTTTTTTTTTTACCTTTCCTATCAAATAAACTAGTCTTTAATATATCAAAAAAAAAAATAAAATTTAAAACAAAAAATAAAATTTTTTTTAAAAAAAAATAATAACCTACAGTTAACATTTCAAAACTCGATAATCGTAATTTCAATTCGTCTTAGTAGAGAAAAATTACACCAAGAGCATTATATTCAAAGCTAGAGTTCGTTGGAAGAAAAAAGTTGGAGGATCGAGATTTAAGGCGTAGTCAATGTCCTTGTGCAAAAAATATTTTAATTATATTATTACATAATAGATGATGTATACTTCTCATCATTTATATTTAATGCTGCATCTCAATAGAGTTTGCGGTTTTGCGGTGGTCCCCGTTTAGCATTAAGTGATTGATTGCGTAATCAATTCAATTAAACTTTAAAATTTCATTTATTATAAATTAAATATAAAACCAAATTTTTTGAAAACATTTTATTATTAATTTTTCTAATTTTAATTTTTCATTTCAGTTAATTTTTTTCGGTTATACACGATGTTTTTTCATAGATTTTTTTAAATAGCGAATTAAAAAAATAAATCTAGAAAATTAAATAATACGATAAAAAAAAATAAATATAAAAACGGATATCAATTAAAAATCTTATAAATTTTTGATCATTGCGGTGCCTATATCGAATATATACGATATCAATTTTAATTTTGTAAATCATTTTGGCGGAGATGCGGGACCTTTTTGCCTGAACGATTACGTAATCAACCGACCGTTACAATCGTTCAGAGCAAATTCATTTATCTTATTTTTTGTTAGGGGATAGATTTAATCCGCTATTAAAAAATTTGCCAAAAAAAGTCATGTGCGCATATAATTGTCACTTGTCATTAGCATAGCATTACAGTACATAATATACTGTACATAAGCATAATTTTAATTATTCCACTAAGAAATATATACTAATTCGTAAATTACATAAAGCATGCATACCACAAGATTTTTATATAGTACATAATATACATAATACAGTATTATTTTTCATAAATTCAACCTAACTATTAACACCCACCACTAAACATCCTGTATCTCTGTATTTAATCCAATATCAATATATATTTAACCCTCTTTGCTGAAGGAGTGAATTCTGTTTCACTCAAACGTGACTTGACAGCTTTTCAAGGCAGACGGGGTAGAGATGCTAACAATGCTCCATTTCGTGTGTCTGTTGTCCTATTAAACTGCATATTAAGTGTCACTCCATCATGATATACATTTGTTCTCAGGTACGCCACTAACTTCAGAACACTTGCAATATCGGCTTGTTGATCTCCAGTATGAAGTTTGAAAGTTACACCATTATCCTCATAAGCATAAATCAAAGCACTTTGTTTCATCATAGACTGCCTTCATCGAACTCAAATGGATGGTTGTCCCATTAACCAAGCCGATATGCAAACGAGTCGCATTTACCTCATCCTCTGATAGATAATATGCAACTGCAAGCATTCGATCGTATTCAAAAGCCGTTTCTGCTACCACCGCTACTGCATCCTTGTATACTGCAAACCCATCATTCTCAAATTCAGTTATAAAAAATGGAAATTGTTGATTAGCACCATTAAAGATAACAGCGGCAAAATCAGATCTTGATGATCCACATCCAACATTTCCTGGAAATTTATGATGGTATTCCCAATTCACACCAATCTCTTCTGAACCAATAAGAAATGAGTCAGAAAATATTTTTGTCCACATTTGTGATTTTATGTGATTTTCTGACGATTTACTTCCTGGGCCTCGGCTAGGGTTGGATCGGTCCGGTCCGGTCCGGTCCAAAAAGACCGGTCTTTCATCTTTCTTTGGACCGGACCGGTCCATAAGTCAGTCCTTGGACCGGTCCTAAGACCGGTCTTGTACCATTCGGTCCCCTACCAGTCCGGTCCGGTCCAAGATTTATTTTCTCTCGAAACAAACCGATTTATAAGGCTGTTTCAACATACTAGAAAAAATATACATATAAAATGATCAATTTAATAAAATAAT